CCACCAAGCTCTGCATTGTGACAGGAACCATCCCTGGTTTGTGGATGCCTACCTAGGGGCACTCCAAAAGCATTCTTTCTAAATGTCTGAGTAACTCGGCAAGGGAAGAGTTATTACCCTGAAGTTTCAGATGGAGGAGCAGAGGTTCCCAGCACAATGTAACCTGCCCCTTATCATTCAACAAGTACACACAAGAACTCGGATTCAACCCAAATGCATCTATTGTGACACTCACCCCAGATGAGTTCTTAAAATCACAGCACCTGGAACATTTTGCTAGATTTTTTAGTTCTTGTGTCTACTATGAAAAGTGGGGCTGGGTACAGGGGGCTTACCCAACCCCACAGGCCTAAGAACCTAGGGGGTTAAGGATCCATGAGAGTGCCCCATTATACCTCTTGCTTCTCCATCCCCAGCTCAAATTTATTCATTTTTTGACGATCTAGTAATCAACACAGATAATATGCAACTAACCAGATAAATATACGAGATAATTGTTATGGCTTGAATTGTCTCCTGCTCCCTGAAATCCTTATAATGAAATGCTAGTAACCTCAGAATATGATCTCCAACTTCAGAAGTTAGAGCATCAGAGTGTGAAAGAATAGAAAAAAGGTTTGTATCATGGGACTAAGGAATGCAAGCTTTAGTTCAAAACAGTAATAGGTGGAGGAGTACAGAAATGACAAACAACCCCCTTACAGTTCTTGGTAGTGGCCATTTGGACAGGGCCCTCTTCCCTCGCATGACTGCAGAGAACAGCCTTCTATGCTAGTTTGAGATCTACCCCTGCACACCTCCTTGCTTTCCAAAATAAAACTTTATATTTTGGTCTTTAGCAAAGTTAAGATAGGTCATGGGAAGAGGGACAGCTGAGAGTGCATCTTTATGTACACATTCTCTTTAGCAGTACAAGTTCTGAAAGTGCCATTTTCAACCATAACTTTTAAGATAAATTTATTTTTGTTTAGTTGTATGAAAGTATACATTGAAGAAAATCTTGACTGCGTAGTTTTTAGTTGCTTCCTTAAAATATAGATTGCATTTTGCTTCTTCTTCCTGCTCCATTAACTTAATGTTCCATATTTCAGGGACTGCCCCCCCCACCCCCATTTTAATTCTTTTAGAGGAAAAAAGCTGAGATGTTGTTTTGGGGAACTACTCAGCACCTTATAAGAATTTGGAAAAGTTTTTACCAAGGTCTGATAAGATAGATGAAAAACGGTCCCCTTCCTGAAATTCATCCCCCTTTCCTTCTTAGCATTGCCTGACTGGGGAAGAAAGGCAGAGAGGTGGGTGAGGAGTTGCTAGCATCAGGAGGTGCCCACCTCCACTCCCCAGAAAATGCAGTGTGGAAATTTGCACAGATGCTCTGTGATACTAAACTATAGCTCCTGGAGTCAAGAACTTACATGACTCTTTCCACTTCTTGTAGAACCAAAGTGACATTGTATTTTGAACATAGTAAGTTCTCTTTATATGTTTTTGTTTACTTTTTACTGAAGAATACTACAAATTATACACATACAGAAAAGTGCATGTCAAAGTATACAGCTCAGTGCATTTCCACAGACTGAACGTTTGTGTAAGCAGCATGCAGATGAAGAAACAGAACAAAGACAGAAGGAAAGGTCCTTCCTTCCTGCCTGGGACTTTCTGCCCATAAATGAACATGTTAATGACTCTGTATCCTGTGAAAGGGGAGAGGGAAGAAAAGTATCTAGTAAAAAAGTTAGGAATATAGCTACCTTATCTGTTTTTGTATTTATAGCTAAATCTCACATTTAAAAAGAAAAAGATTTAAGATGGCAACCAAAGATATACACCAATCAATAAGATTAATAAAAACAATTAGATATGAGGGATTTGAAGTAGAGGGCTAATATTGATAGGAAAAGAAGGTAAAGCAAGTGTAACATCCTCAAATTATGCTATTTGCTATGTATTTTCTAAAACTGTGCTGTTCCATGGTAGCCCTAGCCTAAGGTGATCAGATTTTAACATAGGTGAAGTGGGACACCATGGGGGGGGGGGAGGGTGAAGGGGTGGAGGGGGAGGTGTGTTCTTAATTAAAAATTTGGTCTATATGGAGCAACAAAAGTTTTCATAGAATGCAAAAATAGTATTGTAATATATATATTTTTAATTTCAACATAAGTACAATTTACAAATATAATAATTAAAAAAAATTATGTATAGGGCGGCGCCTGTGGCTCAAAGGAGTAGGGCGCAGGTCCACCTGGGTGACCTTGCTCAGGAGGGGAGTAGGGAGTTTACATTAGCCTTTTCATTTCCAAATGAAGTCACATTGACCTCTTCATTCCCAAATGGAGTTACATTAACCTTTTCAGCAGCCAAAAACCTTATATTTCCTTCCCGTTGTCCTGCTGTTTGCTAGCTTGTAGTGCATTCTTTCCAAAAATTGGGACTTTTTAAAAACGCTGCGGGACACAGGACAAATTGTTAAAAATCAGGACTGTCCCGCCAAAAGCGGGACGTCTGGTCACCTTACCCTAGCCACAGGTGGCCACTGAAATTTAAATTAATTAAAATTAAATTGATAATCTATTTCCTCGGTTGCACTGAACACATGTCAGATACTCAGTAGCCACCTGTGGCTAGTGCCTACTGTATTGGACAGCATAGATACAGAAAATTTCCATCATTGCAAAAAAGTTCTATTAGAAAGAGCTATTCCAAAAAAAGGCCCCAAATTTGGCTTTGAGTTCTCTAGAACAAAAGCAAAGTAGAAAATCATCAATGATATGATTCAGAGTCTGAGAGAGAAAAGTCAACTGTCCTTTAGATGCATGAATATTCCTGGTTCTTAGTCCTGGAAGCAAAGTCTCCTTCCATCATCTCACATCCACAGTGGTGTCAGCAGCCGTGCTCAGCCACACCCCTAGAATAACCACACGAGGAGGCTCTGTACAACTCTTACAGGGTGCTGCAGTGGAAGCTGGTATACCTGGCCAAGAGTAGTGCAGAAAAGCCACTGCACAGAGGGAGGTGGACCAAACAGGGTGGTCCCTGCCTGCAGCTCCTGGTGGCTTTGTTTAATCTGTGCCAGAGGACTGCAATTCCAGATAATTTCCTCAAATTTGTTTCTCTCAGCTAAGCTTTCATTAGATAGCAAGTGACAGTGAGTTTACCCTTTTTATTCCCAGCCAGGTGCCTGGAATACACCTGTTCCATATGACAGGTAAAGTCCATGCTTGTGTGTCTAGGGCTCAGTCATCCTGGCTTGTGCACAGTTGCCTTCCTAGGGAGCTCTGAGCAGCCTGATAAGGACACCAGCCTGAATGAAGTCCACTCTACTTCCTTTGGGCCTACTACGAGAATTGCTACTTAAGAAGCGATTCGGGGTCCCCTGAGGCACACAGACAGTTGAGGACCCAAAGCTCAATTCTACAGCAAAATTGTGACTGCAGTCTTACTGCTTTGAACTAAGGCCTGCATTTCTTAGTTCCATGATACAAACCTTTTTTCTACTCTTTCACACTCCGATGCTCCAGCTTCAGAAGCCAGTACCTGCATAGATTTTATAACGATTTAAATGTTAGGATTTTCTGTGAAACACTCTTTCCCTGGTTCCTTTGAGCAGAGCTCAGGCCAAGCTTTCACACTGCATTCTTTCACTTACATTACTAGAGGGATCCAGAGAGAAAAAGTATTCTAATTACTGCAAAAGGGAAGAAATCACTTCAGAAACAGTCACATTCATTTTGGTCTTTTAGTATAAACAAAATTCTTTGCATTTCATTAACTTTTACTTGGTATAACTGTATTACATTTTTGCATAAAGAATTGGCAATCTTCAAACACAGAAGAAATTTTATCTCACTTTTCAAAAGGGATTATAGAGCAAATGCTAGCAGTTTACTGAATAATAAAGCAACATTACTTAGTATCTTATCTGCAGTGTTCAGGAAATCTGAACGTTATCCAGCTCTTACAAATCATAAATGTTTCATGGTTGCCTTTCTGACTTGAACAGCACGGCCTGGTACGGTCTGAACCAGCCATCTGACATATGCCAAATCCCCATCCTGTTTCCTGATGAGTAGAGGACAGTTCTGTGTCTAATGACAAAACCAACTACCACTATGCAACTTTACCTGTGATTCAAGTAACCATAACCAGCCCCTCTAAAGGCAGCATCCCCTGATGTGCTGTCAACTTTCTCTTTTCAGGTAGCCAAATGTGAAAACTGGGATACCAGAGGTGGAGGCTTTTCAGAAAAATAAAGCCTCATGTGCCTGGTTCAGACTTATCTGTTACTTCAAGAAAGCTGCGGTCTGAGAAGCATTTCTCAGGTAGGACTGGGTTTGGGACCTTTAATCTCTAATGAGTTTGGGACAGCCACCAAGAGGGGAGAAAGAAGTCTGTTAAGGCAGCCAAGTGTTTACCATGGGAGGACCCGCACAGCCCACTGAGCCTACTATGTATTCACTCAGCCCTCCCAAGCTTAGTGAAATAAGATGCTCTCCAGGCATCACTTACTCCCCTGAAAATGTATAGCAGGAGGTCATTTTTCAAATTATCACAGTCTTTTAATGATCTACTGCCCAGCAGGAATAGTGGAAGGCAGGGAGACAGACATACACCTTCTTGACTGTCCATCTACTTCACAATTTTCAGATCGACGGATTTTCCTGAAGTTCCTCAGTGGAAGTGAAAAATGCATTGGTAAAACCTCACTAAGTAGGATGGGCAGACTTTGGGAACAAGCTCTCTGCTGTAAGCTCATGTGGAATCCCAGGAACCCTCCTGGCAGAGCTGAGAGCATATGGCCAAGGCAGATGGCCTTGAGAGCACAACGCAAGAACCAGTGGGAAGGGTTGGTCACACCGCCTCCGTTCTCAAGTCCATTTCGGCTGCCCTGACTACAGAGGTCACCAGCCCCATCTCTGTGACAGCTACTATGGTTTCTGGCAGCATTACCTGACCCGTTTCTCTGTCCTGCCAACAGACAGACAGACAGACACTTAGGCCAGTACCTGCAGAAGAATCTTGTTCCCGTCATGGTCCTCCGTCTGCCAGCGCCCCTCGCTGATGGGGCTGCAGGGGTTGGGCAGGAGAGGCACGAGCTCACCAATGTCCTTCACGCGGAACTCCAGCACTGAGGAGTCGGCAGGGACTGGGCTCTGGTCACAGGGCAGTCTTTTCAGGGAGAACTGGATGTCCACGTCCAGACTGGAGAAGATGGGGAAGATGCAGAAGTCTGCCTTGCTCTGGCTGGGGCTGCGCCGCAGGATCAGCTGGTAGAAGCGCAGGCTGTCGGCGTAGTTGCTGTGGCTGCAGTACACCGTGAAGCGGATGATCTCATGGCCGTAGTGCACGGGCCGCACGGCCCACAGCGGCGTCCCGGGAGCCAGGGCAAAGAAGTCCTGGCTACCCGGCAGGTACGGCAGGAGCCGGCCCTGCACCCGCTCCGTGTGGTGGTGGCGCCAGGGCGGCCGCTGCAGCGTGCGGTGCAGCTGTAGGATCTGCTCCTCGCCATACTCCTCCTGCAGGAAGAGCACCACCGCAAGCGCAGGCTGCGCGCCCCGGGACGCTCTGCGCCGCCTCCTGCACGCACCTCGCTCCGACACGCGGAACAGTGGCAGGCCCGGGTGCACCCACGCCAGGACCTTGTCGATGGCTTCCTGCAGGGGCTGGGACTCCCCAGGATCCGCAATGATGTGGACGCTGACCAGGAAAGGGTCCTGCGCCTCCTCCACGGAGAGCTCACCTGGAAGCAGTGAAAGAGAACCACAAATGAATAAAATGGGATGATTTCATTACGGTGTCTGATGAGGATGTGTCCAGCCTTGGCAGGAAGAGAAGCCAAATTCCAACAGAGTTCTAAATTCCAACTCCATAATCTGTGAGTTTTAGATCCTAAATTAAACTAAGAAAAGGACATGAAGACTATGTTAACCAGTTTGATGAAAATATTTCAAATTGTATGTGAAAACACCACACTGTACCCCATGATTGCATTAATGTACACAGCTATCATTTAATTAAAAAAAAAAAAGCTGCTATGGCAGCACCCTCGACGACAGAGGGCTACAGCCAGCAATGCTTCCCGGCCTGGGCAGCTCTAGGAAAATCGTGGTGCTGCTGTTCCCCAGGCAGAGTGGCACAGGGAACACCCTCTGTCTGTGTGTCAGACAGCAAGATCGAGTCTCCGGTAAGGGAAGGTAGAGAAGGCCCAACAGAGAAGGCAGGTCACCTGGCACTCCCTGAAATGACTGCAGAACCTTAGCCCACAAACCTTCCTTGCCCCTGCTTATGCCTCTAGCTTGCTGATTTCATCAGTTTGTTTTGCTCCTTGGTTTTATAGACACTTAATGAGCTCCTTCCTGTATGCCTGGTACTGAGCAAGGCACAGTTCAGCAAATGTGTGATGGCATTCGTTGAATGTGTCAGGATAAGGCTGCCTGAATTTCCACCCTACTCTGTTAGATATCTCACTTCAAAACAGTTCAGTCCGTTAACTTTTCTCTCATTCACACATTCAGTCCCACATTTGCTGAACAATTAGTTTGTACCAGGCACTGGGAGGCAAGGAAGCTGGTCCCACCAAGTATCCCGGGAGTATATTTACATACTTGGTGCGACAGCGCTCATTATGTCATGCACAGCCTGCACAGCACAGGCAGCAGCCCTCTAAAGAACCATAAACTACATCTGAGAACTCATGTTTAGTTGGGAAGCACAGGCATAAAAATTAAAATTCAATCTGATACATGCCTATAAGGAATACAACAGAATCTTAGGGCAGGGGCTAGATTCTGATACCCTCAAGTGTGGAGGGGATTACTGCGGGAAGAGGATAACTCTTTACAACAGCACAGAACTGTGCAAAACCAGGCACCTTTGGAAGTGGGTTGTGAAGAACTCTGAAATATGGCAACAGATGCAGCCAGAAAAATGGAGTGGAGCCAAGTTACTTGGGGCCTTAGTTCAATTCAGTGGTTGATAAGGGGGAAAGGAAAGTTGTGATGAAGGAACATCAGGATTAAGTCCACAGAAGCTGACTATAGGCACAGGAAAAAGTTAAAAGACTAGTGATGAGCAGACAAGACATAAGGAGGGCTGGGCAGCATAGGAGAGTGTACTGGTGGCTCCAGCTCTTCATCCTTCCCTACATCCTTACTTTCTGCCCTGGGACTTTGCAGTTCTTCCCAGTAAATGGGTGAAGTGCATTTCCTTACTCTTTGATTTTGGATTAGACCATATACCTGGCTTTGGCCAGTAGAAAAGGCAGCAGTGACATGTGTCTTGTCTTCCCTCCTGTGCTTCTGCCATTTCCACAAGGAGAACATGCTCAGGCTGGCCACCTGCTCCAAAGAAGGGTGGGAGAGAGATGTGGGGCAGAGTCGCCCTGGCTGAGCCCAACCTAGATCCGTCAGGACTTGAACACCCAAGGATCATGGTGAAAGCAGCCCACTGTGCATGTGTCCACCAGCTGACCCAACACACACGGGGAATGGTACATGGCTATTGTTTCAAGCCACTGGATCTGGGTGGCTGTTACACAGCAGTATGTATAGACATAGACAGTGGCAAACAGAAGGGGCATGGGCTTATGGCCTCTCGAGGAAGCACATGTGACAGACCTGGTGGGTAGGGCACAAGAAAGTAGCAGAGGAGTGTCCCTGATGTTTCCAGCTTGAGCAACTAGTCTGAGGTGATATTTAACCAAAGCAGACAGGGAAGAAAGGGAGGTATGTAGGGAAATGTAGGGAGTTCCACTTGGCTTAAGATGCCCAAATGACTTCCAAGAGAGATGTCCTTTGGAAACGGGATCTCCATGCTGCTGAGGTAAAGGGCTGAATTTATGGATGGACCAGTGACTTTCTGACCATATTCTTGCTTTTATGTTATCTGATAAATGTATGTCCCCAAGTTGATTTGAATCATGAAAACTTGTCAGAATGGCTTAGAAAACAGATGAAACTCCAGGATTACTATGGCCCCTGGTCTTTGCTCTGTCTGCCTGACTTCTTGCCATTTTATTTGATACCAACACCACAATCAGCAGAAATTCAGCTGAAACAAAAGTAGTGACAACGCAAACCACTGACATTTCTGCTGGTCAGTAACCTCAGCAGGTAGGAGAGGACACCACACTCACTGGCAGTGGAGGTTTCACTTATCCACAGTGCTCTGAACCCTTACCAGTAGAGACAGGTGACTCTGATAAATGTAACAAATGCTCAATACAAATGGGAAAGGATAAGAAAGCTTTGAATGATCTGGGGATAAATACTTACCTGAGAAAGTTACAGATAATTTTTATGAGGGAAAAGAAGGCACACAGAATAAAAGGAGTATTTGGGAAAAAAGGTTGCCTGAGCAGTGGGGCTCCTTTAAAGATCCCATCCCCCCACCCCCACATAGCCCGGTACACAGTTGACCGTGTGTCTTCTTGGCATTCTACATGCATGAGCTTTTTAATACCCACAACAACCCTGAAAGGGGGTGCTGTATTTGTCCCCACTTTAGACAGCAGGAAATCAAGGCACAGAGAGGGGATGCAGCCTGCTGAGGACACATGGAGAACAAGCCCTACCTCTAGCATGTGAGGTCTGGGTCCCCATCTGCCACCCTCCCCTCTGGGGCCACGTGCTCGCTGTGCCTCCCTGTACTGTCCCGTCTCACCCCAATGAGCTACCTTCTCAGCTATCCACCACTAGCTTTGCCCACTCACAGCTCTTTCCTCTGGTGCTGGTCTTGGAGGAAAAATGAGCCAAAAGCCGCCTCCCAGTGGGCACAGGCACAGGCCTTTACATCTCTGAACAGGCCAGCAGCACAGGGGGTGCACTTGTGAAAGACAGTAACCCAAGAAAGCCTGTGACCAGGTGCAAGAAGCCTGGGTGTGAAGAAGCCCAGGGGCAGGTAGCTTCTAGTCTCCCCAGAAGAGCTGCCAGGGAAACTCAACCCTGTTCCATCTCTGTTAGTCACACAGGGCTTTCTCTGAGAGCAGTCACCCAGGCTGCACTTCATGGAGGCCTGCACGGTGGAGCGAATGTTTACAGCTCCACAGAAGGGCAAGGTGCCCAGCGTGGGAGCCAGGGGTGGTCTGAAGGCCAACCACTAGCTTGCAAGTGAGCAAAGATGATGGAGACCTGTCCCAGGGCTCCTCTACATGTGTGACCCAGGGAGACAGAAGTGGCTGAATACCTGAACTAAGGAAGTGGCTGCCTCAGAAGAGCGGAGAATGGGCAATGGTGTCAGTCTGTTTTAGCCACTGCTACCACGTGCCCACTGCACGTGAACCTATAACACACAGGCTCAAAGGACCACAGAACGTGGCTCCATGCTGCCAACAGGTGCTAGAGTTACACACACTCCAGGGAAACTGGCCTGTGGAGCAGGACAGGAGACTAAGTATTTGGGGGAAGGAGTGAAGGAGTGAAAATGTGAATAATTAATTGTCAAGAAAAGCCTCTTCACCTGCCTGGTTGGGCAGAGACAGCCTAACTGTGGGGTGTGCCCTGCCTTTATCATATCCATTACATAGCTTCTCAGTGGGCCTCAGAGAGCACCTGCTCAGTTAGGGAAAAACAGACCAAACCAGAGTGGTGGGACCAACTGCCCATGGCTAGTGAGAGGGTGGGACTGTCACCCGACATCAACAGGGCTTTCCAATTAGTCTGTGCTTCCCAGAAGCAAGAGGAAGAGTCTTTCCTCTGGGATTATAAACAATTAGCTTTTCCTTTGTTAAATTAAAAGAAAATCCTTGTTGAGAAAAGCAGTGCACACTTCAGGCCTTCTATGGAGCAGGAAATGCCCTACTAGCCTGGGCGTTTGTCACATTTTTTTTGTGGGGGGGCCAATATTTTTACCTCTCCTATATATATATATATCCCCTTTCTTTGGCCCTTAAATGCAACAGAAAAAAAATCTATATGATACCAACAACTCATTGTGTGCTTATTATTGCCCTAAAAGCTTTCCATGTACCACATCATTTAATATTTAAAACCACACCATAGAAGAGGTGTATTCTTCCCACTCAGTGGGGAAACGTGAGCTGGCCTGCTCAAGGCCATCTGGTTGCAGAACAGCAAGGCGCCACACCAGATGCTCCCCCACCTCCCAAGTCTACCCTGCTTCCAAGGATCCTGTTGGTTTCCTGCCCCAGACCTCAGTCTGCTTGGCTGGGGCTCTGAAAACATGGCTTAGCTGCTGGAGCCATCTCAGGTGGGTGGTCCAGCTGCAAATGTGCCCACTGCTTTTCCTGGGGGCAGCCAAGCTTAAAGCTTTGGAGGAGGGAGCAGGGAGTGAGGTCCTGCCTGCTGAGACTCGGGTGCTGAGCCTCCCGCCCGATACCTTGGTGTGGCTACACCAGGACCCTCCTCCACTCTCTGCTCTGGGGAGTCACGCGTGCTGTGCCTGTACTCTCTGTCTCCTGGTATCTGATACCTGCAAGACTAGCCCTCCTCCAGAACTGGCAAACTGGTGTCCCCAGAGCACCCGCTCCCTGACAGTGGACATGTCCCTCATTCCAAAGGGACCTTGTGGACAAATCTGAGGACATGACAAGATCAGACAGCCCTCTAGAATTTGGGGGTGACAATTATACCACTATCATTTTATTTCCAGTCACTGACAATTTGTAATTCAAGTGTTAATAATTTACTTAACTAAGGAAGGTTTATTGATCACCTACTATGTGCCAGACACTATAGGATCTAGGCAAACAAACAGTCTCTGCCTTCATTGAGCTTGTAATTT